AATATTATAGTTTAGTTATACTATTAATTGTCTTATTAAGATAGTCAAAAGCTGTTATAGCTATTACTCCCTAATCTATTATAACTATTGGCCTGTTTTTGTATTTTGGGGCCACGGTATAAAGGTACTATTAAGAGAGAATATAACTCCAAGTTTTGAATACTTAGAGTATAAAGAAACCTATATATCGAGTTTATCCGGATTAAAGGGAAAGGTATATAAAATACCAAGCAAATTTATTATACTTATTGTCTTATTTTATATATTATACCGAATTTATACTATCCCCTCCCCTAAACACTTATAGTGGATCCAATATTCGCTATACTTTCATGCTTCACTCATGCCACGCCTCACCCCATTTTTAGCTAATTAGAGCATATAGAAGCTTCTAGCTTGCCAGCGCAGCTATACCATAAATATAGCAGAAAATATAGCTTCTACTGGCCTTATTTTACTTATTTATATCCTTAATTGCAATGGACTTACAAGATTCACGTTTCACTATACTACTACCTAATTATAGTAAGCTTTATAATACAGATACTTTACTATCTGTACAGCCTCGCTCTCCTCTCTCTTCCCCTGATTCGCAAAAGACTACGCAGTTATGGGACTCTCGCAATGGCCCTAGGCCTCAAATTAATGAATTACAGCAGACTATATAGTTCTGGAACTCACGTAATAACCATCCAGTAACTCTAGAGCTCCTTAGTCTAGAACTCCTTACCCACTCTCAGCTTTTACCAGACTCTCTCTTTGCATTATAGCCTTCTCCTCCTCTCTTTGTCCCAGACTCTCAAGGGAGCTCTCAAGGGAGTAATACCTGGACACGTGCTATAGACTATATATATAATAAACATATTCAAATCCAAATAGCCCTTCTTTTCAAGATACTATAGGCTCAGATTAAGGAGATACTAGATATTTCAAATAATCAGATTAACTATATAAAAAACAATTGCCTTACTCTGCAAAAATCGAAAACCGGTAAATATGTAAAGCTTTACATACCTGAGAAAGCTATACTTAAGGAATAGTTACTTTCCTCTCCTTCTTACCGCTATATGATATATTACAAGATCCCACACTTCCTTCTATAGCTTCACGCCAGTAAGAAAGCTATTCATATAGCTATAGACGGTATTAATTATTATTACTATATATTACGAAAAAAGGGGTTCTCAGATAATCCTAAAGTCTGCCAGAAGAGACTAGACTTAGTAAAGGACAGGAGTATATGGCCATACTCACGCGTATAGCAGGTTTGCTTTACGGACAAGATATGGGCATTTGGTAGAGCTTATACGAACTTGTATATTACTTGCTTAAAGGATGGAAGCGATCGCTTACTTCCTGAGTATATAAAGCACAAGTACTTCAAGCTTCCTGTATAGATATTCTGGGGAAGTATAGTCAATAGAAAAAAGGGGCCTTCTCTTTTTTGGGAGAAAGAGTAGGGCTTAATTAATTCCATACGATACGATCTCAAGATTCTCTCAATAATAGAACAGTTCTTCCGCGGCTACCTACTTAGCCGATATAGGTTTTGGCAAGATAATGCTTCTTCTTATTACTTGCACGAGACGAAGCTATACTTACTCCTTTGCTATATCCCTATAATTCAAGCCCCTCGGTACTTACCAGACTTGAATCTCATTAAGCATATATGGAATTGGATAAAGAATTGGATAGAAGAGCACTATTGGGAAGCATGCTACTAGCCGGATAAGATCCGCTTGGATTAACTCCGCAAGATTATACAAGATGCATAAGATATAATACTAGACAAGTATATTCAGGGGTTATATAATAGCTAGTGGAGACGCTATGAGGCTATAAAGGAAGCGCATGGTGGGCCTACAAAGTACTAAGCAGAATATAAAGTAGAAAGTGGGAATAGCTTCAATTGAACTGGAAAGCGGTGAAGACTCAATTGCGTGCCTTTAGTGGAGTAATGTGTGTGTGGAGATGGTAGCGAATATTGGACCCACTATAAGTGTTTAGGGGGGGGATAGTATAAGTGTATTGTTCTTCTAGAAACTTCTACGAGTAGTACGAACCTGCTTTTCGCTCTACCTTGAGCTACATGCCCATCCCCATCTCCATTACCGCAGTAAGTTGTGGGATTTGTGCAGCAGTGTACCTACATGATGATGTACGTTCTTCCTTACCACAAGATGTGCCTCAATGATAGAAAGAGATGCATAGCTCCCTTAATATAGTGCAGATAGCCGCCATGATTTTCTGCAGTGGCTTGCCGCGATCGACTGGTCTAGCGCAGCTCGTACTATACAGGTTGGGTCAAGGTTGTGCGCTCAGCTGGACGACAGCCTCGCGGCATGGCGTGGTTTAGGGCAGGATTTTAGGCGGTAAGTGGTCAAAACACTCGAGTACCAGAATACCAAAATTATAAAATTTAAAGCCACGAATCGCATGCTACTTAAAATTGGGCTTGGAATTGCACTAAAATTATATTTAGACTCGTACTTACTATTAATAGGAGCTCTTTATATATTGTAGTGAGCTGCCCCCCGCCCAAGAGCTGCCCCCCAGGAAGCTTCCCCTCCAGAAACTACCCCTCCCCCCAATTCCAAGAGCTGCCTTCCAAGAAGCTCTTTATATATTATAGTAAGCTCTTTCCCAAAGAGCTCTTTATATATTACAGTGAGCTGCTTCCCAGAGAAAAGATATAGGTGGAAGATAATATAAAATTAGTAAGGTGTGCCTCAAGTCTTGAGGCTCAATTAAATCTGTAGTTGCCTGAGGCACCCCAGTTTCGCCGAGGGAGCTATCTTCCAGAAGCTGCTCCCCCTCTCCCTTCCCCTCTCCAGGAAGCTATTCCCAGGAAGCTCTTTATATGCGATACGTAAAAAGTTCCTTGGGGAATAGCTCACTGCAATATATAAAGAGCTCCTTAGAGGAAGTAGCTTTCTAGGGACAGCTTCTTGGGGGGCAGTTCCCTTGGGACAGCTCTCTGGGGGCGGCTTTCTTGGGACAATTCACTGTAATATATAAAGGGCTTTTTAGGGGCAGCTTACTATAATAATATATAAAGAACTTCCTGGAGGGCAGCTCTTGGGAGGGGGGGCCGGGGGGCGGGGGGGCGGGGGGGCAGCTTCTGGGAAGGGGGCTCCCTGGGGTGCAGCTTACTGCAATACGTAAAGAGCTCCCATTAATAGTAAGTGCGAGTCTCAGTATAATTTTAGTATAATTCCAAGCCTAATTTTAAGTAACATGCAATTCGTAGCTTTAAATTTTATAGTTTTGGTGTTCTAGTGCTCGAGTGCTCGAGTACTCGAGTGTTTTGACCACTTACCGCCTAAAATCCTGCCCTAGTGGTTGCGCATCATCGCTACAGTCGCTTGCAATACCGGCCTCCCCTCCCCACGGGCTTGGAAATTTTCTTTCTTCCTGTCAAGCAAGGGGGTCCTGAGTCTCGCGACTACCTTTAACTCCTAAGTCGTGATTTACCATATAAAGGACAGCCACAGTGGCTCGGGTGGAGCTGCGGAGAGAGAGCTATCCGCACAGCTCTAAAAAGGAAGGATAAGTGAGAGGAATAAGGAGGAAGCCACCTATCTCAGAAACAAACCGTCGTCTACAGCTTGGGTGGGCACAAGAGCAACCCCCCCGACCGACGAGCAATGGGATGGGATATCTTAGACAGACGAGAGCCGGGTACAACCAGGGTATTACAAAAGGCAGTGGTGTACGAGGAAGGTCAGGCTATCAGAGCTCTTTCACCCTCATTGTGTATAATACAAGTGGCAGAGGAGAATTAGGTGGTGTTTTGGGCGTATATAAGTGGGGAATATGATAAGGGGGTAGGCTTGTTCAGGCTTGGCAATGATACCTGAGGTATCAATACCGGTATCAATACCCCCTAGTATCAATCAGTATTGGTAGGATCGATCCGTATTGATCCGGTATTGATCCTAAGCGAGAAATTTGCTAAGTACCTTACATAGTAAATTTATATGTAGAGGTACTTTCCTTTAATAGCTAGCGAGGGGCAAGGAATACCAAAAAAGTCGACTTTTTTAAAGTCCTTAAAAAAATTATAAAAATATCTAAAACTATTAAAGCAGTGTTCTTAATTATAATGCTATACTTACTTTTTTAATTAAAGGTAATAAATATAATAAGATTTGTAGTTAAAGGGGTTAGACAGGGGGGTCTGCGATTCTCGCTTAGAATCGATTCTGGTATCGATAGTATTGATACCTTACGATTCTGGTATTAATACGGATCAATACCCAAAATTAGGTATCATTGCCAAGCCTGGGCTTGTTCTGGGAGAAGGAGGACATTAATGCACTCCTTACTGCTCCTACCTGTGCATCTAGGCTGCCCTAAGGCTTATGCTAGATACCAACGTTGACGATTACCTAGTCCAGATACTTCCTCTGCTTGGCATAGGTATAAGCACTACCAAATACGGTCCCAGAAGCCCAAAAGGCGCCAAGAATACCGCAACTGCAATACCAGGCTGGCCATACGCCGGCCCATCCGACGCAACATAGAGCCCGAACAAAAGGCCCAGCGACAGAAGTAAAGACGCCGTTCCCCAAATGCACCAGAATACGAAGAAGTCGAACTCGAAGGATATGACAAACCCCCAGCCCAGAGCAGTTGGCGTGGCCGGATCAGTCCTTAGCTCCTGCCTCAGCTTCTACGGGACGTATTTCCAGTACGTGACCGAACTCGGCGTGTGCGCGAACTGGGATGGGTTACGTACAGCGTCCGTAAGTATTGATGTCGCCAACTTGGGTTTTTGGAATTCGTTTGGCTGGGGGACCGACCACTTATCTGCTGGACAGCGGTCTGTCCAGGGTGGTGGTTATGGTTGGTGTTCGTTTGGGAGCTTTCCCTTGAGAGCCAGGCCGTCGTCGAGACTGACGTCGTTGGATGCGCCGTTGAAATGAGTGAACTGTACGGACGTTAGCTCTATGTGCAGATACCTAGTTAGCCTCCAGGTCCGCGGGGCCTAGGAACTAGCTAGACTCGAGGTAGGTATGTAGGGAGCCTAAGCAGTCTGGTTCTGCTCACCTCGTAGTACTCAGCCTTTAATACCCGCAGGGGGAACAGGAATCGAACAGGTCCTCGCGATGCCTGATGTATGCCTATTACGGTGCGTACCTTGTTGAACATAGTTTTGTCTGTAACCTCTAACGGCGCACCTGCCTGGCCCATGAATTTGGCATGGCGCAGCCTCTACCCACCCGGTCGCCCCAGAGGTAAGCAGATGAATATATTGTGCGGGTCGTTCTGTTGGTTATTTTGGGCTGCGCCATCAGGGTCCGCCTCAATGTTGGGAGCGTCCTGTGCTGGGGCGGCAGTATCATATGCCACGACAGCAGGACCTGCATCTGGATTACTTCCCGTATCGACTCCAGGCTCCTGCTCTACGACAGCGGGTGTGTGTCTTGCTGCCTCTGGTTCTTTTGCGACGGGCTCGAGGCTCTGCCCAGGTGCATCGAGGTTCTGTCCTCCCTCTTCAGGGCTTACAACCTTGTCGGACCAGGGTGAGTTGGTGGTGCGAATGTCCAGTACAGATCCAGGAGTCTGCTGGTGAGTTTGCGCATCGGGCCTCTCCTTCACATCCGAGTTCGGTACCACCATGGCCTTTGGACCTAGCAGCACCAGTTGCTCTTCATGAGTGCGGGGTGGGGGTGGGGTATAGAGACCAGAACTTCTTGGAATTGACCGTAGAGGATATAATGGCCCATCGTCGTTTTCATCTTCGCTTTCAAGTAAATCAGGCGAAACCACGGCCTTTGGCCGGGCTAGCTTCTGCTGCTCTACAGGTTGCTCTTCGAGGCCTTTTTCCGTCGCATCTGGGATGGACAGAGCCACGCTCTTCGGTTATTGTATCGCCGGCTGCTTTCCGGCACCTTTGCCTGGTGGACTAGTTATAATAAGCTCTGCTAGGCTTTCCCGAAGGGTCTCCCAGGCTTTGCTGTGACGTATGAATTCTTCCACGTTTTCAAGACTGGACAATTCCTCCTCTTGTTGCTCGGCAGTGGGTTCCTTGTCCGGCTCGACGTCGTCTTCCTCAGCCATTTCAGGTACGAACAACCCTTGGAGTATATTACTGCCTGCTGCTAAAGACTTTCCGGACTCCTGTGCCATATCCAACATGTATTGGAAGTACGTGTTAAATCGCTCTATTATCATTTTTCGATACTTCTTGGGCTTTCAACTGAACAAATACTGCGGCTTGTCTCTACTCTTTTGTAGTTGCTTCTTTCGCCAGGTTTTTGCTGTACGCACTCAGTAACAGTCGAGACTCTTTGTAACTGGGTCCATCCCTTGCTACTCGATACCTATATCTAAAAGAACTACGAGGTCGTCGTCAACCAAGAGTAGCCTTTTGAGCTGCCAGATGGCTGGTTCGGAGATGGCTGGTTCGGTAGAGGTTACGGACCGTTGCGTCTGAGAGGTTTCGCTCGTTACAGTACTGAAAATCGGGCTGGATCGTCCGGAAGCGGGCGACGAGGTACCAAGGCTTGCAACGTCGGCGTCATCTGAGTTACCTTTGACAAGGCCAGGGGCTCTTGAGATTTGTATCGAAGATTCTATGGGTTGCGGGGATACTGGTGAAGCAGTAACTTGTTGCGACTCAACCGCTCTTGTACTGACCTCTGGCGATTGGTTACTACCATTATCTAAGTTAGTATAATGGTCCCTAGTTTCGTTATCCTTAGTATCGAACATGATCCTGCGTATATAGTTTAAGACGACGGGGGTAGTAGGCAGTTAGGGTTCAAGGTTGCTGCCAACAAGTGTCAGAGCAAGGGGATGAGCTTTCGTCTATGGCTTGACCAAATTCCGTGTTTCCTTGTCAATTTGGATCTCTTTGAGGGCTGTTGAAGATATACTCAGGGCGATATCCATAAGTTCCCATCCTCTGAGAACTTATCTACCCATAACGACCCGACGGTCCTTGGCGAAGAATTGAGTATCCCGCAATGCCTCCAGCGACCTCAGAATGCGTCTGATCAAGTCTTCGAAGAGTAACCGTTTACTTGGATGGTCCCGGAGTACCATCTGTCGAGACTCTATGATGGCTCGAAGTGCCGAGGGACTGCTGTCTGGGGAAGGCGTCGCGTAGGGCAGCTTGCTTAGCAGGATGTCTTTGTCTGTTTCATGGGCTGCCCAAATGTGTGCCATTTGGAGCGCGAGACTTAGCTCGGAGACTATCCATATTTTGCGATTTCCGTGTCATATAGAATCGACTTTTGGTCTTTTGCGAACAGAATCAGGTTCAGAAGATCGACCTCGAGGACGTGTGGGGGCTTGAGTGATATGGGTTTCCAGGTATGTGGGATGCCAATACCCCGAATTCCGAAGTTCAGCCCGACTGTGACCCTTTCGACTTTCCATTTGACCTCTCCCAAGTCGGAAAATGCGTTGTTCTGAAAGCCTGAATATTTCGTCCCAAAGTAGGCATCGGGAGTCAAGGCCAAAGTGGTCGGGGCTAAGCGGTGTATGCCAGGCTTTGAAATTGATATGTTCAGAGAACTGAATAGAACAGAATAAAGACTGCTCCTCTCGGTGCTACCAGCTCCAAAGCTCCCGTCTTTCTGGACTCGCGAGATTGAGGAAAGTCGATATGCGCAACAGATTACCTTCGTGAAGATGCAGTTGATGGCTAACGATCATAGAGGGTCAAAGCTGAAGAAGGTTGGCGGTTAATTATGCTGCCCTACCCCGCTGCCCGATACAAGGTATTACGCCACTTGTGAGACAAGCTTTGCATCCCTACGTCCTGTCGTCGACCGTAGTGTGACCTCACAGCCACGATATATCCAGGCTCAGCAAAAATACCTGAGGCATTGATACCGGTATCGATTCTACTGGTATTATTCAGGTATTACTAAGTATCGATACTATCGATACCGGAATCAATTCCTTTACGAAGATCACGGCATAAAGTATCGGGAATACAGGGCATTATTTTATGAAGGCCACTAAATGCCCTGTAAGGTCTTACTTTAATCTCCCTGTAGCTAGTCCTAGTTCCCTGTAAGCCCTGTAAGGGTCCCCTGAAATGTGGCTTACCTCGCTAAACCTCCGATTTCGATTATTTTTTGATCAGTTCGATTCTATCTTATAAAAATAACTATCTAATATATAATCACTTTCTCTTGGCCCTTGTTCCCACCTTCTTAACACTTATTCCCCCCTTATCTCCTTTATATAATCAGGAATTACTGCAATCCACTCTTGAATCTTGCTCTGGGGAAGGTCTTCCCAGCATTTCTCCCACCTCACTCTCAGCTTCTTTCTATTACTAGTAGGTCCCCGCTTGGTAGTCTCCTTTTTCATCCAAAACCAGGCTTTCTCAATTGCATTGAGATCAGGTGAGTTTCCTGGCCAGTGTATCTTTATAATCTTCATTAGAATTCAGAACAAAGTGTGTGTAGAGAGGTGTGCATTAGGGTTAATTATCCCCCCATTACTCGCTACTAATTAGTGGACTCGCCTATATTTATGGGCGTTTGGGGGCGTTCAGTACCTGTCAAGCTGCATAAGCCCATATTAAGCCTTCAGGGCACTTTTAGTAAGCTTATAGGGGCTTACAGGGGACTAGGACTAGCTACAGGGAGATTAAAGTAAGACCTTACAGGGCATTTAGTGGCCTTCATAAAATAATGCCCTGTATTCCCGATACTTTATGCCGTGATCTTCGTACCGCTTTCTACCCCACACCCTTTAATTTTTACTCTCTTCACTTCTCTCATCTCACATCAGAATTCCATTTGGATCACACTCTCAAAATATCTTCTTTATATAAGCTAGACTCTTCCTTTATAGCTTCTGCTGCTTTAGTAGAGCTAGAATCAACTATAACTTCCCAGAGCCGAAAATGGAGAGCCGCTATTTGGAAGCACTATTATAAACCTACTGAGAAGGAGAACCAAGCCAATCTTTACTATACTTACTATACCGATTCAACGAGATTACCATATAGTATTTCTCTTTTAGAGAATATAAAAAAGCATATAAAAGTCACCTATAAAATTGCTATTAAGTATACTTTGAGTAAGAATCAAGTAGTAGTCAATTCGCAATTAAAGCAATATTATTATTAAGCTACTAGATCAAGCGAGCAAGAAGAGCTTAATACCGAGATCCTAAAAGCCTATCTAAATACCTCAATTATTACGGAAGCCTTGATTACTCTTATTATCATACGGAATCTATCCTATACTCTTATTAAATAGCCAGAGTTCTATACCTTTTGCCAAGTACTTAATCGAGCTATTAAGGGCAAAATTACAACTTCTTATTCAGGAATTACTAGCTCAGTAAAAGAAGCTTAGGAGCGGTACCAGGATACCATACAACGAGTTCTCCAGGCTATATTTTTACTTATTTATATCTCTTTTAATATCTGGATCTCTTCAAATCAATTGCTTTTACTTGCAATCTATAGCCATTTTACTATATATAATAGAAAGTAATAAAAGGCCCTTCTCGCTTTAAAAAAGGTTTCTGGCCATAGCTCAGAGGCTCAAATAGTAATCTTTTGGCTAGTTCTTTAAGATTATAGTATTACTTATAAGCTTGGAGCTATTATAAGTAATAATACTTCTATAAATAATATTTTTTATTAACTGGTTCAAAAGGAGTTTAAGGATAAGCTTAGCTTGAATTAGAAGGCAGATTACTGGCGTATTTGCTATTTGAGCCATATTATTAATCTGGTTATATAAGCCTTTTTATTTACGAATCAGGTTAGCTTGGAAAGTCTTAATTTATACGATAAGCAGGAGCAAGCTAGAGTCTTTAATATAACAGAGGTAATAAGGGCTCAGTTTAAGCTAATGGGTTCCCTTGGCCAAATATATAATATTATAATTCATATTTGTAGATTAGCTAGAAGAATAGAGGAGTTTTATATACTTGCAAAAAAACTGATTCTAATAGATAATTATATGAGATAAAATAGCTAGTATTAGATACTTTATATACTGCTTGACTTAAGGCCTGTAGTAGAAAGGTATTATTAAAACCATAAAAAGGAGCTTGAAAAGGATATCTTAACTCCCAAAAATGAGAAAAAGCTTTATATAATTAAGGAGTTTCTTGAACTCTTTATACGAGCTACTCTTACTACTAAGGGCTCAACTTCCCTTGATTCTACTCTCTTTATAATATATATCTTAATTAAATACCTTTAAAAAGAGAATATAAGTTCTCCTTTTCCCTTATATAACTATACTAATTCTAATAAGCTAAATATTAAAAGAGAAAAGATATAGAGGAAAGGGACTTTCTTTACCGAATTAAGGCAGTATATAGTATTTCGGACAATTATTATATAAGAATTAATATATCCCCAATTTATACTACTATATTAATCTTAAATCCTTGTAATTATATAAAGTATATTGAAATATATTAGCTAAAGAAATAGTTAAAGCCAGTTCTAGCTAAAATTAAGAAGCTTTGGAAGAGATATAGGAAAGGGGCTATTATTATATTTATTTTACTAGCTTTTTCGTATAATAAATTGTTTTATAAAAGACTAGAACTAGATATATATAATTGCATTACTTTATCTCTTATAGTAAGAACTCGGCCCGCAAGTCGAGACGAGTTTAAGGACTATAACTTACTAGAATCGTATAATTCTGGTAAAAAGGGGGCTTTTATATAGTAGTACCAGGATATATAAAAATAATACTAGCTAAGGCTCTTTCTTATAGCTATTAATATCCTCTCAATTCCACTAATAAGCAATGAGCCAGAGAGAGTATTTTCAGGGGAATATTATATAGTAAGCTGGAATAGGATATAATTAGAGACAGAGATAATTGAAATACAAGAGTACTTAAAATATTAAAAGAAAAGCGGAATTCTAAATACTTTCCTTAAAACTAGCTAGAGGAAAATCAAAAAAAGGCAAATATTAAGAGCTTAATATAATCTATTAGATATTATATAAAAGCCAGGTAATTATATAATATAATAAGAGTAGTTCTATTTATTTATTTATAATAGAAGAAATACTTTGGCCAAAGTAATATTTAGGCTTTGAAACCCGGCTACTTTATATAATTTGAAAGAATTTAGGCTATTTTCTATTATTGCCCTCTCCTCTA